AAATATTATGTTTCCGAGTAGAAAATTGCAAGATCTATCAAAATCAAGAAAAAAAAATTGGGGTTACTATTTAAAAAAATTGTCAATGACGTCACTGCCCAAAAATGGGAAGTGGGGGAAAATTGAATTCTATTTAAAAAATTGCGCTTTGAGTAAACAAAATTGACCTGTCCGAGCATTTTTTCGAAAAACCAACTACTTCCATTATAATGAATTTATTCCTTTCATTTGAACCATACTGTATATTGGTTGTTACTGGTAATAATATTTAGTTGATTGAAGGAGGGAGCTGTGGATTTATTATAGAAAAAAGGTATGTAATAGTATATTACACACCGAGGTGGGAAGAGTTTCATTCCTGTCGTGAGATTAATTAGATCACCGAGACGCGAAGCGTCGAGGTTAGCTATGATCTCGAGACAGGAATGAAACTTCCTACCGAGGTTTGTATACTATTTTATTTACAACCATCATATTTCGATCAAAGTTAATAAATCTCTGTTTTGTTCTGAACATACCTAAAATATTACATTTAACGACAAATTACCAAGCGCGCGGTTTTCTCAGAATAATCAAGTAGGTAAATATATTGTTACTATGATTACAGGGTAAACAACTGTCACCAATATAAATAAATGTCAGATAAAGCCGGATATTAAATTCGCGAATAATAAATATCAATAAGTAATTTGTTATATTTTAGTTCATTGTTGTTTTTTATTGTTTGCCATTAAAAAGATATTATAAAATTTGTCAAAAAAATGTGTTATTTTTTTTAAATATAAAAAATATTCATCTAGAATAGATAAAATGAGGGCGGGAAGTGAGGGCGGGAAGAAGAGGTGTGTAATGTGACACTTCCCAACCTTTAATAACGTTAGTAATGACAACAATACATATATGGTTGTAAATAAAAGGTTTTTTCAACGTTTATTGTTAGAAATTTATAGTTTAACTAGTTTTGTATTGCAGGAAAATCGTTTTCCACCATATTTTTCAGTTGCTCCCATGTGTCAGCATTATAAAAAATCGCCGTGTCATCTGCAAACCCCAAAATTTCACCTTTCATAAATTATTTATGTACAAATTGAATAGAAGCGGACCTAAGATAGTGCCTTGGGGCACACCATATTTAATGGGCATAAAATTACTGTAGCTATTGGCTACCCTTACGGTTTTCATTCTTTCATTTAAATAGGTAGTAAATAAATTTAATGAAGTGCTTCTAATCCCAATATCTTCCAATGTTTGCAGGAGAATGTGATGGCTTATCATGTCAAATGCCTTTGAAAATCAAGAAACACGCATAAGCAAGGTTTACTGGCTTCTAATTATGCATATATTAATGTATTAATGCTGAAATCGCATATTCTGTGGATTTCTTTTTCCTAATACCATATTGGTTGTTTGATAATAAATTAGGCATTCCAACGACCTGTCCAAATGGCTACCAGTGGGTAATGACAGTTTAGATATGGCAACCCTGTTGTCATGTTGTCATTAACAGGGCCAATGATACATATATAGTTATATAGATTGCTCAAAGCTGGTCGTTTACGAGCGGCCATATTGCCTGGCAAATATTTATTAATTTGAATCGGTTTAGCAAAAATGTGTTTTAAAACCAATTTTTAGCCTTTAGATATTTAAAAAAAATAATTGCTTACACTTTTAGTTCAAGGCATACGCTTATGTTTATTTTGAAAAATATGGATAATCAATCTATGTAACTATCTATTTCATTGATCTTGTCAAATCACCAGGCCTACAGGGTTGCCATAATTTTGCCATATCATAAACCGTCAAAACCCACTGGTAGCCATTCAGTTTGGAATGCCTAATTGTATTTGGTTAAGTAGGAGTTTAAGCGAGTTTCCAAAACTTTTTCAAATACCTTGGAAAAACTAGATATAAGAGATATTAGACAATAATTTTTTACTTCCCTATCCCAACAGGATAGTGTATGAGTAAATAACAAAAATTTACACCAATGATATAGAAAAAGATAATCTTCTTTATAATTGAATGTGTTAAAATTTTAAAGTGTTGAAAATAAATAAAACCTTTATAAATATACACCTTTAAGGTGATTATAGCACCCCCTTATAATTTTCGGACAATGATATCTCAAAAAGTAATTTTTTTAGAAAATTTAAATATGGGCAAAATAAATTAGGCAATAATATCTAGAATATGCATATTTTTTAAAGTTTTAATTCTTTACAGTTTCCGAGAAAAAAAATCAATGGGCTTTAAATTTTGAAATATCATAATGAAAATAAATACATTCCTCAACAGCAGTATTATTAATATAATCCCCAAATTTAAGCTCTTAATCTCTTGTTATTGATTTTTTAAAACTGGAAGGAATTAAAACTTTAAAATATATGCATATTCTAGATATTATTGCCTAATATATTTTGCCAAAATTTTAACTTTTTAAAAAAATTACTTTTTGAGATATCCTTGTCCGAAAATTATAATCACCTTAATAAAACTACCACTTTTTAGTAGTACCTGTATTTCACGAAATTTTGTATAAATAAGTAAATTAAATAAAATCAAAAAACTTAAAACAAAAACATTTTTATTAATTTTAAAAAGAATACATAATTTATCTCTGCACTTTAATTTTCTACCTCTTCTATTCAAAATTATTTCCGGGCCCACACAATCCTCATAAAAAACTTATCAGTTTATCCAGTAGACTTTAAAAAAAAATCATCAAAATATATTTTTTCAATAAAAAGAGGATTCTCATCTCCTACATAAACTATAAAATGGCACATTCTTCTTCTTAAGATACCGAGTTGTCCTTGAATCTAAAAACATAATAATTTTTAATTTGTTAGAAAATATAGCTTTCATTAAATTACTTTGAAATATAGTCAGAAATCTCACCTGATAATAGTAATTGTGGTTTTCCTTTAAATGAATTTCACCATTTTCAATTCGTAAACAGGGAACCATTTTTTTCTCTACGGCCTCTCTCAATGAGAGATTAGATGTGGCTACTTTTAAAAAACATTTAACCTCGACAAGTTCATCAGAATTAATTAAACCTAAAAAATAGAAAAAGTTATTAAACTATTGTTATAATAAATAAATAATTATCGCTTACCATCAAGTGATGCACCTAGGAACCCATGGTATAAAAAATAAAAGGTAGGATATCAACAGTGTCAAAAATAGAACGGCCACGCGCATAACGTCACGCGTAGAGTTTGTATAGGCGCGAATTTAGAAATACTGACAAAGTGTGAGGAAAATATATGTTACTTACAGAAATTTGATGAATATTAAGGATAATATTTTAGAAATTACATGAAATACAGTTGGAAAGAACTATGAAGGAACATAAATGCAAATACATACATAAAAGAAATATTTTTTTGAACAGTTTTTTCCTTTTTTTTTATGATTTATTTTGGTTATACAAATTCGACTTCTAAAGAATAGTTTTTATAACCAGGATAATGAAATAAAGGGTATCTTCACAACTTGAAATTGGGGATCCTGGTAACAATTTCGCATCTGGATATGCCGGAAATTTTTACCTGATTAGGATTTGCAACTATGTAGTTACTCATTTACCTGCATTATATTATCCAATTGAATAAAATATTTTGTTTTCATATATTATAATGCAGACATTCATATAATATAATGCAAAACATAAAAAATGTACCAAATACAAATAACTGCTACATAAAATATGGTGGGTAGATATACAAAATTAAAATAAAATGTCCCTGCATTTTTCCTGGATCTAGTCACTGACAGTTTTTTAATTCAATCATCAAGTACAAGTCGAAATTTCCTTTTTTTTTGTGATATTTACAATTTCACTTTTGCTTATATTGCGAAATTTGTATCCTTCAAAGTTTAGAAGTCACACTGGTTCATTCACAATTACACATTATGTGAAGTTTTGATTTGAGGTCCCTAATTGGAAGGTTGAAAGTGTTTGGTATACATATGAAAAGTTATCTGCAGAATCACAAGCCACTGCAAAAGCTGCGCCATGTCGAATTTTCTTGGGAAGGAGGGTAGAATTGCCTATTTAGCATATTTTTTTAATAAAAGGCTCATAGATTTTAAGAATTTTAATCAAGGGAACGATATGCTTCCCTGGGCCTCCACTGGAGCTGCCCTTGGGCTACTCCTTACTTCTGACTAAGCTCTTACTGTCGAGGAAAACTAAAAACCATAATATCTTTCTTGAATCCTTTCCTTTAATTGTTACTGTTAAATCTGTACCGCAATTTTTCAATGTTCTTCACTAAAACCACTCACAGAGAACAAAGTTTACAACATAATATAATACAAATATTTGCTTAATATCGAGTCACAAATTACTGCAACATGCGTCTGTTATATGATATTTATTTCGCGCCAACTCTACTAACTCTACGCATGACGTCAGCGCCGCCATGACACCATGCGCGATATCCCCCCCTGCTAGGAACCCATATTGCACGTCAACAAATAACCCTGATGGTATAACTGTTTTGCCAGTTTCTTCTTGAAATTTGTTTATAGCCACAACTTCGTTTTGAATATAGTACTCAATTGCTGGGGTAGTTATTCCTTGTTTGTCTGTCAAGATTTTTGTTACCAAACAATCGTATGGAGTATGGGCCCTTCTTTTGGCAACTTCCCCGAAATGAGAAGCCGTTAGTCGAAATCTTCTTTTCTCCAAGTATCTTGAGTTGCTGAACTGTCCTATAGTTTTTTCTGATATTTGTTGTTGTTGTTGCTTATTCGTCACCTAAAAATATTTAAATATAAAATTATGTAAAAAGTAAAAACGTAATATGCATGTTAATACCTTTAGTCGGTCAATTAATTTATTAACTTCTTCTTGAAGACATTCATCACTGATGTCTACCTCAGCAATATTATATCCGTATTCCGTTGTATCTGATGGTTTTGGTTTTTTATAGCCTTACTTTTTCTAACAGTAGGTTTTCTTTAAATTTTGTCACGCTCATTATTTGCCCATTTACTTAGAAAATAGGATGCTTCTCTATTAAAGCATTGCTTCCAAAATTTGATGTGCCAATTAACTCCATTATTGTAACGAAGAGCGCTCAAAACACACCTACTTTGGAAACCGTTCCTTTGAATGAGATTTAATCGTTTTCCCATATTGAAACGAGCAATAATATTCATAAATGATTCTGCTTTGTTGGTTGTTTCGTTGGCTAAAAAAAGGTGTGCTTTTGTTAAAAGTAAATTTAATGCTGCGTATACATGGTGGTGAGCTCCTGATGAAGTGAATTCGGAATGTTGTTAATATCGTTGTTAACATCGCAACTTTCTCTTCGGCAGTTAACATGATTACCAAAAACATGAGTTACACTATTTCTTAAATCTTGTTTAAGTTGTGCAACGCTTCCATCTTTATTAGTGTAAACCGCGAATTGTCCTGCGTTTACCAATTTTTGTATGATATCACCTGTTAAATATTTCCTTGCTTTTAAAGAAACGGTTCTAGTGTTCTTATTTATGTTGTAAAGATGTTTGCTATAATTTTTAATGCAATGATTTGTGAATTCCGACTTTGTTACCTAAAATTAAAAATACAATAACCTAAACTAGTTTAACAGATATTAAAATGTGTACCTACCTCTACACGGAAAAATTGTTTATTATCCACCACTCAATATGAAATAGAAATATTCAAGAACCAAATCGTTTTTTTATACAACTCCCCTTACTACCTTTCAACGTAATGGAAATAAATCAAAATATTTAAAATTTAATTTTTTGTTACTTTGATGTTCATAATTCTTTTCTCTAATGAGAATGAAACTTTTCTTAGATTGCAGGTAGTCAAAATTAAATTATTTTTATATCTTAATACTTTAATAAGATTTACAACCTTAATCTATGAACATTATGAATTTTAAAATCAAATAACTACTTCTTTGATCCTCTAAGTCTTATAATAAATATTATAATAATACATTGTCTAGACTTAGGTACTTAATACCTACTTACGGAAAGTTAAATCATTTTAATTTAATCCCAGTATTTTTTAAATTTGTATCTTATATTGTAAAACAATGAAAATGAGAGTAATTTGTTTTTCTATCTTATGGAGTTAAAAATTCTTTTAAAATCAATATAAGAGATAAATATTTATTTCCACAGGTGTCAATGATATACGCCATTAAATACTATGGGATTTAAACCCGAATCGCCGAATCCAAAGTCCCAAGCTCTGCCCATTCCTTTATTAATGGTATTAATTTATATACATCATTTTTATAAATCTAAATATTTCGTTTTCAGCTAAAGCAAAAACCGTTCATTTAATTATAGGTGATTATACATTTTCTCTGTATTTAAAAAAATGAAATTTATCTTTTTTTGAAAACATGGATCTAGCAATCAGTTTGTAGGTTTATAGAATTAATAAATACAAATAAAAAGCTCGTTTTTAAAAAAATTAAAAAATAAATAATTATGTAATTACATATTGCTTTGTAATTACTATTTAAATAAAATAAATAATATTACTATATTATTATTTTTTTGTTATTAAAATATTGTACTTCCCTCGTTTTTGTATCCAGATAGAAATGATTCTACGCTAAGAACTCCGTGAGTAGCAAATAACAAATTCAACGGATCGATAATTCATTTTGGCGAGTAGATTATTTTATCAAATATTTGACTACAGGCACTACTGGTTAGGCAGTCCCGCAGTACAGAATTCGACCGCAAATCCTTTGGAGACTCTGTCCTTAATCCCTTTATATAGGCTTTATTATTTCCAGTTTGCGCTATTTTAAGATTCTCTATTAATAGCTTTTTACTTTTATATCTTCTTCTATTAGATCTTCAACTATTTTAATCGACGTTCATCTGAGATTGGTACAGTTACTTAATATTTATTTTTTCTTTAGATAAGAGATTGCGGACAACAACACTGGGCGGTTAAGGAAGTTGGTTAAATAGAAAAGACTAAATATTTATTAAAAAACGTTTATCTTCTACTTTATAAACATTAATATAACATTTTTAAAAATTGAAAAATAACTGTTAATAACTAATCTAAATCAATCTTAAAAATTATCAAAACAGTCTTTTATCATTGCCACAAACTCACAAACATACATTCCTATTTCTAGTAATTGGAAAAATTTAAAAATCCTACCTACTGTAATACCAACAATGCAAATTTCTATAACAGTACTATTTTAATTTATACATATACTTCACTTAGTAAGTGGGGTGCATTCACTATACATTTTTTATTAAGTAACTTTAATACAAGGGCCTCTCCCAAAAATAATATTGCTGAAAATGAGTTTTGTGTGGAACAATTCTGTTTCTACATGTTTACGTGATTAATAATAGGCATATACATGCTAAATCACCATATTATTCACTATTAACTCAAAATATTCTTTATTTGTGTATGAAAATTTTAATTATGTATTATTTAAATCCTAAATAAACAATTTCAGCTCTCTTGCCAGTTGTTTGAAAACTCCACAGATTTTATTTATTCTTTTTCGATAAATGTTTTGAGAATGTTTTACTCACCAAAATATATTTGTGAAAAGAATCCATTAATTTAGGCGACACCCTCATATTCTTATTTTCATGGAAAATATTAGATAGAAAGTTATTAAATGCTACACAAGTAGCAATAAAACAAACAATTACTAATTGTAATTTTTGGTCATTTGAAAAAGTCAGCTTTTATAATAGTGGAATGACTTAAATTTTTTAATTTATATAAAAAAATGTATTGTGACTGCTTATGAGTGCCGGATCTTTCAATCGAAGTCTTTCACATCATGATTCCTGCACTATTTGAATATACTTTTTATTTTTGTAGTTCCAGGGGTCCAGTAGTGATCATTTGACCATTGTATTGTTTATTATTATTGTATCAGATGTTTTTGTTTTGCGCCTATTGTTTCTTTCGTTATATCATTCATCGATAGTGTGACCAGTAACACAGCTATAGCAAATGGTGATAGAAAATACAATATAGGTACTAGTAAAAGTAAGACCGTGTTCATTCTTCTAGTGCTTGTTCCACCATTCATTGTTAAGGTTGGCAACATTTTTTTAATTTGTACTTTTCATTTTTGTCACAGTTAAAATTTGTCAATAATTACTGTTTTAGAAATTTGTGCCAACTGCAAATTTCAAATGCACTTTTAACTTTACGTCAACTTGTATTTATTTTTATTTGTATGGCCGAATACTTCTTGGGAGGCATAGGTTACATAAAGAAATCCATCGCCGTCGGCGTATTCTCCATATACCTCTGCAAGTGTTAACGTTAAACTCATCATTGATCTATTGTTGACCAACAAATAAAGGGCTTGATGTGAATTGAGACGAATTCTGTTCCTGAAAAGAAAGAAGCATTAATCAAAATGAAAAAAAAAAAAAAAATCAGATGTTAAGGCAAAGATACCAGTAGTCGACACCTTAAGAAAAATATAATGGTAAATTTACAATTAATTTCATAAATTTGCTTCTATATTTTATTATCAACTTCAGATAGAACACCTTAAGTGTAGTCTAGGTAAATATTCATATTAAAATCATAGATTGTTTTAATTTTCTTTTTGGTAATTTTTTTTTGACTTCATGCATTTGCTCCAAAGGTTGACATGTGCAGATTAGCTAGTTCTAGTAGTTGACATGATTTGCTCCGGTAGTTGACATCCTACTTAGCGAGGTTAATAAATTACATCACCAAAACAGCTTATGCCAATTACAGGGTGACGGGAAAATGTACAAAAAACAAAAATAAGTTAGAACATAAAAGTAAACATTTATACAAAAAAAGCATCAAAATATGTTGTGCATAAGTTACAGACACACGCTTGAAAAAACAAAAAAACACTATGTAAAAAAAGTGTATGTCTGTAAAAATGCTTTTACAATTTGAAAATTAAAATAAGTAGGTTTTGACGCATTGGACTAAAAGTTCTATAAAACAGTTATAAAAAAAGGAAAAATAAAATATTAATTATATTGGCGAAGAAGATAGAGTGTTAGTTCTAGCAATTGTTAGTTGAAAGCTTACACAAATTCGTAGTCCTGGTCTAGAAACTCTAAGTGATATATATTTAATTAGCTCATTGCAGTTCACTTTATTATGTAAAAGATTATTTAGGAAAAGCAACTGATGTGATGCCCTGCGATCTTTTAGTTCCGTTAAATTAAATCTTGATAGCAAATCGCTATGTGGAAAACCTCTAGGAGGATATGACCATCCAAAATGTACGAGGCCGACTTCATGAACCGTCTCTGAATTTTTTCAAGGTTGTTAATATAAATATTATACATATGGTTTCAAACTACACTGGCATATTCCAATCTAGATCTAACAAACCAAAGGTACAAAAGTTTTAAAGTTTTTAAACTATTGAACTCTTTGCGATTTCTTATAACAAAACTAAGCATTTTGCTACCAGTCGATATAATTTTGTCTACATGATTGGAAAATGTTAATTTTGAGTCAAATATCACACCAAGATCATTAATACAATCAGTTCTATTAATTATGGTCGAATACTATTGGGCTTACTTTTTGGCTAAATGTCATAGTATTACACTTAGATAGATTCAAAAGCAAAGTATTTGATTCACACCACTCGTTAACTCTTTCTAAAGATTTCTGGAGTTCTCTGCAATCATCAATTGAACGTATATCCGTATATATTTTTAGATCATCAGCATATAGTAGGTACTGAGAATTATCTGATATATCATTAATGAAAATGTTAAAGAGAAGTGGTCCTAATATTGACCCTTGGGGTACACCGGACTTTTGTAAAAATAGAGCAGATTTGAAACCTTTATATTGAACACACTGAAATCTTCCATTTAGATATGACTGAAAGAGAAAAAAAAAATTTAGGGATAACCCATAAAAGATAAGTTTATTGACTAGTAAACAGTGGTTGAGCTTATCAAAGGCTTTACTAAAATCAGTGAATATAACATCTACTTAACTTTGTTAATCTAACTGATATACTTAATAAAAGTCAGGATGGATACGGTAGATTTTTTATTCATGAAGCCATGCTGGTACGGCGATATTAGGCGATATGATAATGAGCGGTGTAACAAAATTTTAAATATTTTGGAAAAATTATTAATAATAGTAATCGGCTTATAGTTGCTAACATTACTTATATTTTCTTTTTTAAATATAGGCATAACACATGACAGTTTCCAGGAATTTGGGAACGCAGCTGACTTTATAAATGACTTCAATTGTTTTATAGCATTTATGACTTCGTCCTCTGAGAAATTTAGTGTTTAAATTGGGAATATCAATATCTACATTTTTTTGGACAATACAGGGATTAGAGTCAGAGAAAGATTTGGAAAAATAATCAGCAAAACTGTCTACTATTTGTTGAGGATCTTCATATATAATTTCAGTTGGTATTGAAGATTTACCTTTCTTTCCGTTTACGTATAACCAAAATTTTTTAGGATTATTCTTCAATTCATGTTCAATATTATTTAGGTAAATTTGTTGAGCAGTTTTTATATCGTGTTTTAATTGAGATCTTATAGTTTTAACACGGTGTTGACTATTGAGGCAACCACATTTTTTATAAACTCTATACGCCCTTTCCTTGTTCTTATTCATTCGAATTATTTGCCCATTGTACCAGGGTAATCTTTTTTTTGGATTGTGCCTTTTAAGAACCGATGTAATTTTAAAATAATTTGTAGCTATTTCGGGATCACTAAGCTGACTAATAAAGTTTCAGTCAGTGTGAAGTAGTTCAGAATATAGAGCAGGATAGTTACTCTTTTTAAAATTAAGTTGCGATGTGTCTGACTTAAAATTAACTGGAAATTGATTATATCTATTATCAAAACTGAGATCAATAGCTAAGGATGGGTCTTCTTTAGTAATAATTTCAATGGATTTTGAAACAGAACAGTTAATATTAGAAAATATTAAGTTCAATAGTCTGTTTACTGAACTGTACCAGGTCAAAAAAGTTGGAGAAATTAGTAATTAACATACATTTGTGTTTCATTTCTAAAAGTTAACATATTCGAGAACATTAAAATCACCTAGCATGATAAAGTTATGACCGTATAAACATGTAATGGAGGCAGCACACTCGGAAAAGATTTCATAGTCTTCAATGCTACATGATGGAGGAATATATGCAGTTAGGAATGTATGTACTTGTTTAAAATTAATAGTAATTTAACAAGAATCATATCAATAAATTTAATATCATGTAATCTCGTACAATACTTTTTCAAATCAATAACAGTAGATGTAAAATTTCTTTCAAGTGCTACTAGTACACCCCCTCCCCTAGATGTTTTGGTTTCCGGGAAACATCGATCTTTCCTAAAGACATTAAATCGCATAGGATCAAAAAGTTCAGCATTATTGATAGAGTCATTGCACCAAGTTTCTGTTAGAAGGTATCCTGAATATTGAGTAGTAATAGAAGAGTTGCTTAAAATTTCGTGTTTTTTAACGAAGACTACGTACATTTTGGTAGTAAAAAGAAAAATATTTATTTAGATTTGATAAAGGAAAACTGGCGTTTTCTTGTAGTTGTTAGAGGGGTGGAACTATATTGTCTCTGAATTTAGTCACAGCCATTTGATAATAATGACAATTATTATCACAAACTGCAGCTCATATGATATATCCAAATTTAAATTTCGTTTAAGATTATAGCAATGCACACATTTAAGAATACTCGATTTACAGTCGCGAAAGTGATGGTTTCCGGAACATTTTGGACAAGTTGGCTCTAATTTCGAACAATTATCTGAGACATTTAATACAACGACGAGGTTCAAGTGCCGAATATATGAGGCAGTCAGAAACAAACCCTATTGTAAGTTTTCCCGTATCAATTGCCTTCCTGTACGTATTTAAGTCAATCTGGAGAATAGCCTGATATAATTTGGAATTACGTTCATGTGGCTTAATAGAAATAACATCGCATTTAGAATCAGAGCTAAAACATGACATGTTTTGTGATTTTAAATAGTTAATTAGGACATCGTTCTCAAACTTTTCAGACATATTTGTTACTTTCAATCTAGGATTTAACGCGGACAACTTTTTTACATCATATTTGTCACCTAGTTGATTATTCACTAAATCACGAAGTCTAGAGAAATCATCTTCGTTTACGCAACTAACAACGAGAGCGCCATTTCTAGTCGTCTCCACTTTGGATATGTTTATATTTGAATTGATGGGGTCGATCTTTTTTAATATTTCAGTTTTAGTTGTTGACGCATGTTGGGAATTAGTTTTAGGTTGGAGAACTATTTTCTATTTTAGAACATTCGAAAATAAAGGTCACATTTGATTTGGAAATTTCATCCAGAATTAATGGCTTTAAATTGTACTATAGAACTTCTGCGGAACTATCTTTCTTGTTGTAAAAATTCTTTGGCGAAGGTTTTGTGGCGAAGGTTTTGAAAAAGACCATTTATTTTGTTTTCAGTTATTATTTCAGAGACTTTCTTTTCGATTTCCTGAATACTATTTTATTTTGATATTTCTCATGAATGCTTTTATCAACAATTAATATCTTAGACTTGCAGTTATCACATATAAAGAAAATATTTCTAGATTTCGAAAAAACATCAAAACTGGCTTTGCTTAAATTTACGCATTCAGCGTGGCGTGGAACCATTGCTCACATAACCCTTAGCAGCCAACAAGATTTTCGTCAACCTTCTTTTTACGGCACTTCTGACATGACATGTTTAATTGTTAAGATTAAACAATGTTTTAGAGCAGTTGAATCGCTCCCCGAGCAATTTAATAAAAAAGTATTAAGGATGATTTGAATTTAACAACAGAGGGTATGGTACCTTCAAAACAAATACAACTAATAGTGCCAGATGCGTACTTTTAAAGTATTTGGTGGAAATCCTAATGCTCTATTCAGGTAATCACTTTTTACCAATTAAACTACACTAACTTCAGGAAAATCACGTTAATCTAAAGAAATTTAGGAGAGACTAGGGTTGCCACCTTTTTGAAAAGTGAAAAAGGACTACGATGCTGACAGGGGTTCTGGTATATAAAAAGCAAAAAAGGCCAGAAATCCCTCTCCTCGTCTTGTTGAGCTTCTAAAAAGAAACAAAGGCCCTCGGTGTATATTTCTCTACAAACCATGTCCTCTTCCAAAAATATATGTTGTCGATCAATCATAATGTCGTAAAAAAGGACATTTGCCGTAAAAAGGACATTTTAAGCTTTAACCCTTTAAGTGTTGGACCATGGTTCTTAGGTGTCGGGACATTTGCCCAGTTTTTTTCAGGAACATTTTGATCCGGCAATGTTGCACTTGAGGTGGGATGGTACCAAACCACCCCAAAGCATCGGAGAGATGCGCACGCATAGTCGTACGATAGATAAGATCCAGAGATATAGGATCACGTCATCAGTAGTTGTATTGGCAAAGGAAATTTTAGAAGTAGGGGATAAGAAAACAATAATTTATTTAGATATTATGACAATAAAAAAGTAACTGTAAATACAAGTGAATAAAAATAAATAAATAAAATTACCTTTAAAAAAATAAAGAAATAAACCGAATCTTCGAATAGACGAAGTGTGAATTCTTGCATTTCAAGTATATACGGATTGTTTCAGAATAAAATACTTGTAGATCTTAACAAATTAATATGAAAAGTTAAGTATAATTTTCCTTTAAACGTTCCAGTTTTTATTTTACAGGGTGATAAAGTAAAGTTCATGAACACAAAATTTTCTAAATATCTATCCTTACGGTAAATATTTTAATTTACAAATATGATATGTTAGTTAATCGTCATTATTAGTTAACACACTTTATTTTTATAAATTACGATAATCCATTGGCGTAGAATCAAGGGTTATAAAATCAATATTTATCCAACCCTTTTGGGCACCCTATATTTCATAAGAGTTAAAATTAGTAATATTAAATTACTGAGATTATTCGGTTTAAGTCCAACTCAAACATGAAATCCATGTACAATTTTATCAAGAGACGATTTCATATAAAATATTAAAAATTCCATTAGTAAATAGGACCAAGTTTTTATGGACTTAATGGTCCCATTAGTAATTTTTTTTGCATTTTTTGAATTTTTTAATGTAGATATTTCATGCTTGAGTGGGATAAAACTAAAATATCCTGAAAATGGAATGTTCTACAGAGATCAACCAAGAGTTCATTTTTTGTAAGAAATTGCGTGAGGAATATTTATTAATTTCAGCTATTATGAAATACTTAAGTACCTATAGGGTGTTCAAAAAGTTTGAATTAAAATTGGGTTCTCAGGCATTATTTATTTAAAACATTTATTCACCTGTTAAATATTTAAAATATATACAACATTACATAAAATAACAACAATTTTCCTATCAGAAATGTGCCGGCCTTGCAGGTACCCGCTGGGCCAATGGCGACATCTTCACCTATAGTATGCATTGTTGCTTATTAATTATGAATTTGACTAGATATAGCCGCCCTTACTCCTTACCAGGGAGGCATAATTAAGGGATTAAGGATGTCTTGAAGTCAGTAATTGTAATGGTTTGTAGATTTGTCTTGTGTTATCTTTATTGTCCCTTTACAGTAAGGAAAGATATTTAGCAAATTATGTATTTAATAAATTTACTTTATCACCCTGTAGAATGAAAATTTGGACGTTTACAAGAAAATTATATTTGGCTTTTCCTAATAATTAGTTAAGATCTATAAATCCTCAGTTTACAGTACTTTCTGAAACACCTTATACATAAAAATAATAAAATTTTACAAAAAGTTTCAAGCATTTACTTACTATTTGCAAATGGTAGGTAATACCGGTAATTTTTAAGACGCAAATAGAAATTTTAAATAAAAATTTTATTTTTTTTTAACACTGTATTTAAAAATAAAGATGAGATGCATTTACTTGCATTTTATGTAAATGTAACCGTAATGGGGTAAAAAAATAAGTTAATTATTCGAGATATTGAAAAAAAAATTATTAAATATTTGTAAATAATGGCATTGTAGGTAAATATACAAATTTAAAAAAATAAATTTTACAAAAAATATAAAACAATATATTTAAATATAACTTAACTTAAATCATAAAAAAATATAATTTTTGTAAATAGCTTAAAGTTTTTAAACATTTATTAATATTTCCGTCTTCATTAGGTTTTAATAAACAGTTTTTGATTTTATTATCTATACCAATGTATACTTTTCTTCTTTTGTTCGATAATGGTAGTCCAAACTCCTTTCGAAGTATTTCGCTATCTTGGAATTCTGCTTCAAATCGAAGAAACTTAATTAATTCATACACATTGGGGTTGTTTCTTATTCGGAGCTGTAATTTGTTATTCCATCCATCTACGGCATTGTTTGTACAGTGTCTTAAATTATAGCAATTCCATACAGCTCTTGACAACGAGTTATTTTCAAGCCATTGGTTTATGAAATAGTTGTTAAACTCTTCTATTTTTTTGTTAACTGGACAATCTTTCATTATTTCCAGCCATCCCTTCATCAATAAGATTTATAGGTAAATGAGCCAACAAAGAACACATTTTTATGTGGTTTTGGATTTCCATATCATTCTTGTATAAAGAAGCTAATCCTACCTACGCTTTGGATTCTTCTCCACAAACAGTGACTAAAGTGAAAGTGTCCTTTAACGACAGAATTCTTAAAATTTTGTTTTAAAGCTTCAATAAGTTTAGTTTCGAAATCTAACATAAAATGGCTTGGTTTCCATTCAGGTAGATACTGTTTCTGTTTTTGAAAAACTATGTTATAAGTGTTGTACTTTTTGTTAGGCAATAATGTGAAAATAACAGAACCTATTGACGTTTCACTATCAGTCGGAAATCGATTGCAATCTACTTTTTGTGACATTTTCTTGCCGGCAAATAATCTACCTAGGTACCCTTATTATTTGAAATCTTCAAAACTTGTTTATCAAAGAATTTTCATAGATATTGGTAGGTATAGTTAATATTTATGTATTTAATAATAGTTAATAGTTTAAGCTGGAATAACATTTCCGGTTTAAATTCGGGATTTATTTTATTCGGTTCTATTTGTATCAGTTTTTTCCACGAAATAGATTAAATTTTTTACACAATGTTCCTAATAGGAATTTAGGATAAATATGATTATAGTGGGTAAGTAACTTTTACGGGGATGGAGCTACTAGTAATTACCATTCATAGCTCCACCCCTATTCGCGATGTTGCCATACTTAGCAGGAGCTCTCTTTCTATGTTGTTCTCTCTCGCGCAAAAACTGGGCAAGTGACCCGTAACCGGTTCTTAGGGTAAAAAATTGCCTTTAAAATCAAGCAATTTTGAGCCTACGTGAAAGCTAATACTTCACAAACGCTCAGTGGCTATGCTCGGGATCACTTGCCACCCTGATTATATAGGCAACAAATATTTTACCTATAAGTGGTCTTATAGGAGACCACCGTTACCTTAAAAGAAAAATTTGTTGAACTTTTTTCAGAGGTTCGTTTTTTCTCGATTTTTCCGTTGGTATTACAAAAAAATAATAAAATCTGTGAATTGTGTCATTCAGTATACTATGTGATGGGTAACTTATATAATTTGGAAGTAAAATTAGTGTTAATTTTAACCGGTATAGATGAAAAAAATATACTAACCTAAAAAAGATTGTTTTTTGATTAATGTTTTTATTGAAATAAAATGACATTGAAAGATTTCTAACATGCAAATATACCACCTAAGACATTAGTTTTACATATGATAATATAAATTTTTCACTGAATTATACCGCTTTGAAAATAATATCGGTTGTTCTAGTCTGGGCGTACTTTTAACGCTAATTTTTTGTGCTGCTGTAAATAAGTATTTTCTTTTCAGAGCAAAATGAGTAAAAACAAATGGTCTTATAAGCAGTTAAAAAGAATTAGGTATGAGGAATTTAACAAATTGTATGCACTTGATGATAGTCAAGCTGAAAACTCTAATAAATAAAAATAAAATTTAAAAAATTGATGATAGAAGCGTTACTGTTGAAAATACTGTCCGAAAAGTAGATGTTGGAAATCACCTTCCAGTGCAAGGCACAAAACGTAGTTGTGCTTATTGCAGTGCAAAAAAAAGTTAAACGTACAAAATTGCTTGCTCTGAATGTAACGTAGGTTTATGCATTTCTTGTTTTCATACGTTTCATAATAAGTAAATTATAATACATTTTGTGTTTTCTTTGTTTAAAATTAGTATTTATTGTTTAATAAATAAAATTTGGAAATATAAATAGTGGTTTCTATTGAGACCACCGAAATATAATATTTCTTTAGTCATCTTAAAAAGACAATGGTCCCAATAGGGACCACCCCTTAGAGAAACAATTTTGAAAAAAATTTGCAAAATTTACTTGTCAAACAACTGATATAAACGGTTTTTTTTATTAAATTAAAATTAAAAAATGGGCAAAATTAAAAAAAAAGTTTTGCGACTTAAAGGGTTAAATAGTCGCAAGGACATTTTGCTTTAAAAAAAGGACTGTCCTGTTCAAAAGAGGACAGACAGGTGGCAACTCTAGGAGAGACATATATACTGTGTTAACTGCACACATTATACACACATGTACGGTTTTCGAACTCACCGATTTAATTGATGCGAATACTGGATGTTGTCAACATTATTATAATTAACAAAATAGAAGAATATTATATTTACCTTATAATTGTTTGAAACTGAGACATCGTTATTTCCTGTGGTACTAGAAACTTAGATTTATCCAACTGTGGTAGATGGGTTTCCTTATAAAATCTTTGTACTATTACCTACAACAAAAGAAAAAGGATTTGTTAGTAACAGGCAAAAAAAATAATAGAATATACTGAAAGATATCGGTGTAAATTTCCGAAACAAGTAGAAAGAAGGACTCGAACCTACGCCCAACAATTAGAGCACCAGAGTGATGTAGGTCCAGCGACCTAATAGTAGTTATTTTAGGGCATAATATTTAACTCGAACCCGGTTTTTTAATATATCGGCGAGGGTTTTTAATTTATAATCCGGGTAATAAATAAATGAACGGAAGTAAGAACAAACATTGGTTAAATATGAAAAACTCATTAATCTAATACTTTACATCTTATGTCGTATTTCTGCAGATCATATCAAAATTGGTCAGTTTTGAAGAAGAAAAACACTAGGTAGTGTTTCTACCTAAAAGGCATAGTGAGTGTTTTGTATCGATAAGGCAGTGTTCGGGTATTGGATTTTTCCCTCAAGAAAGTACCGCAGTTTTTTCGTTATTTACTGTTTCATAAAAATATTTTAAAATTTTTTATGAACAAATTAATATTAAGTTTAGTAAAAGTTATTAGGATTGTAGGTATGTTCAGGTTTATCTTACCTATCCATGTTTAAATATTTGCATTCAAATCGTTTACCCTTTGCTTACAGTTAAGTAAATATTATCGTCCTGGGTTTTTAAATACGAGTACACAAAACCTCGCATCTGAATTTTGAGAAATTTCATGCTATCAGTAGATGCTTAAAACCAACAATAATGAAATGAAAAAACGAAGAAATCTAAAAATATATCAAAAATATACGAGCAACGGGTTCCCTACCGAAAACAAATACTAATCACCTGGCTATGACTAATATTTCGATATGCACTGAATTAAATCTATAAGACAGCGAAGATAGAATAGCTATATATGCAACCAGTTACGAAATGCCCTATTTTATGTACCTAGTTTACTAAGAATGCCATCGGATAGAACGCCCATTATTCACGACTTCAAGAAACCTTTTGATATTCAAATACCAGAAAGGGCCAAAAGCCGGGAAAAAAAGGGAAAAACAAAACGAATCAATCTGGTATACAGACGGTTCGAAAATGAAAAACAGCACAGGAGCTGGGATCTAATATGTGAACTCAGGGAGGACAATTAGTTTGAACCTGGGGTCACTGACAACAGTCTTCCAGGCTGAAGTAGCAGCAATAAATGCCTGCGCCAAAGTCATGCTAAATGACTCTCTTAGAGATAAGAGAATCGTTATCATGACAGACAGTCAGGCAGCCCTTAAAGCACTAAAAAGGGTAGAAGTACAATCTAAATCAATATTTGATTGCCAACAATCCCTCCAGGCTCTGGCAGAACATAACAAGGTTACCCTTGAATGGGTGCCAGGACATGAGGGAGTGTTTGGAAACGAGAAAGCAGACCTCCTAGCAAGGAAGGGAGCGGAAAAAACTCTTATTGGACCAGAACCCACATGTGGTATCTCATACCAACATGTTAAATGGGTGTTAAGGAACAAATAAAAAGAGAACACCATAGGCTCTGGATAGAACTTCCTGGACTTAGACAGTCCAAAAGATTCATAGAGGGGCCATCCACGAGCAGACAACATCAACTGCTAAACCTTAGCAGAAGCGAACTCAAGGCCGTAATAGGACTCCTTACGGGACACTGCGGCCTTAGAAGACACCTAAATCTCTTAGGGATATCTGATGACTCCCTATGCAGAATATGTGAAGAGGAGGACGAAACTCCTATTCACATACTATGCCACTGCCGGAACTTTAAATGGGAACGGGAATGGTACTTCGGGGTACAATATCCGGAACCTGAAGAAATCGCGAAAGCGCCCATCAGACATATTCTTGAATTCATCAAGAAAATCAATCTGATGGGATAGAAACTGTGAGGGGTACAATAAGCCTAGAGCTTCAGTACAAGTGGGCTTTGAACCACGCCCTAATTCAGATGATGATGATGATGTACCTAGTTTATATTTACTGGACGAGCAGAGCATGGTCCCGCAATATGAACGAGTTACACAAAACGGCATTTCGTAACGTGTTACATACAATATTTTTTCTAATTTTGACTAGATTATTTATAAAATTATGTTTTGGTTAAAAATTACTAACATCTATGCAACTAATATTACTTTCTTATATTGTTAGTTCTTCTTATTCTTCTTCTTCTAACTTTTTATTTGGGTTTAGATGTCGTTGTCTGCCCAAGTGTATTGTTAGTTGTATATGCATAACTTCATTCATTTTATTGACAAATAGAAAATCATATTAATGTATTGTCAATAACTTGTAGGTGTTTATATTACGTCTTAAAGTTATTTAGTTTTCAAGAAAGTATTGTGTTTTATTTTTTGTGTAGATTTAGAATGGAAAATAAGGACCAAAACAACATTATTACTAGGTTGTAAGTTCACTAACTAAATTCTATTTTTATATTTATTTATTCACAGGCCTTTCCCACTTGCAGTACAAAGTACAAAAAAAAATCTCAAATAGTGTCAATCTAAATAATGTCATAATAATGATAAACTAATAAAATGACAACAAAAGTCATAAATATATTAACATGTACAAAATTGAAACAACTTATATTAAGACTAGGGAATTTAAGTCCCAGTAAGTTTTAACATCATCACAAAATTAGAAAAGCTTGAATTGAAAAATTCTAGATTATCAGCACAAGCATTAGCGCTTCGTGAAACTCTAGGTATGAATGAATTGAAGCCAGTATTAGTTCTCATTTAGGGCTGATGAAAACTGTTTATTGATCTTGTGCTTCTAGTTGGGGCTGGGAACAACATCAATGTAGGACAGTCAACTATATAATTAATGAACTCAAAAAATAATTTTAGATCGGCCTGATCTCTTCTTATTCTCAAAGTTGGTAAGGAGAATGTCTCTTGCAAAGCCGCAAAATCATAGGAATAGTCATCAATCCGTGGAATATTTGATTTAAATGCTAAGTAGTGAACGTGACAAGTATACTGGGGGTTCCAGACTGAAGAGCAATATTCTAGCAGAGGCCTAACAACACTATAGTACAATAATCTGATAGCATTAATACTTGTCTGATGTGTTTCTCTTTATAAACCCAAGCATATTAGAGAGCTCTGGGTACTATTGCGTCAATGTGCAGTCGTGGAGTCCATAATAACACCCAGATCTCGAATGGATGCAACTTGGGACACTGGTGTACCCTTGATATTATATTGATAACCAATCCTGTTGATCTTCCTAGTAAATGATATCGAGTGACACTTAGTGATGTTTAGGTCCATAGTATTATTCGCACACCACTCATCAAACGTAGCCAGATTAGACTGAAGTTTGAGACAATCCTCAAGAGATGAGACTGCTAGGTAGCACTTTAGGTCATCAGCAAAGCATAAAAATTTGGCAAACTTGAAACATTCTGAGATATCATTTATAAATAATAAAAATAACAAAGGTCCCAAATGGGGCCCTTGGGGGACTCCAGATGGATTGGAAATGTTTTTGATAAAGTTTTACGATCAGAACGTAATTTACTATAGTTAACATAATGGCTTTGTAATACTGAATTTTCAAATTTTTTGTGAGCTTGTTTTTTCAATATTGTCAGTTAACTCTGGGGAGAACCATAATGGAAATTTGTTTTGGATGCTTTTTTCTATGGAATAAAAAATAGAAAATATAAAAAATCATTCGCTGAGTGATGTAATAATAAGTCATCCCAATTTACCTGATCTAAACAATCGTTTAACAGAGATAAATCAGCGGACCTAAAATCATAATAAAAAATGTCTTTCTGGGGACCGCTCACATTAGAATGATTCAAAGAGTTCACAATCTGGAAGCTTAAAGGAGGATGGTAACCATCAGCTGGAACCAATGCTTCTTCGCTCAAGGTCACTATAGTGCTTCCATTTGTAGATAATATAAGATCTAGTGTTCTGCCAGTGTTATTAGGAACTTTATTCACCTGATATTAGTTGTGAAAAGCACAGGCATCACCCATTAAGGTGACCACATCTCCCATATGATTTTGTTCCCCCAATGTATCTGTAGGTACTGAGCAATATTCCTCGGTTGACCAATAGCAATATGGCATATTGAGGTCTCCACAAATCCAAACATATCCTTTATGATTTTCAGTAATGACATTTACTGTTGAACTGAAACACTGGTACTTATTTACTGGAGAGCGAGATGGTATATAGACTGCAGCAATGATTATTGCATCAGAACCTGATCCAATTTTAACAAAAAGTTTTTTGATATCACTAGGGGTGTCTAGCATGGAGCTAGTGAGAGTCTTTAATACAGCGATGAGGACACCACCACCTCTTAAAGCGTTACTTGTATTTTGGTAAATATTATAATCGAACAATCCTAACTCGCCATCACTAATATCACTGGTCAGCCATGTTTCAGTCAATATGATGATGGAATAACAATTTGCAGATACATTTGATTGAAAAACATTTAGTTTAGTTCTTAGTCTACGTACATTCTGAAAAAAAACTTGGGTTTATTTACATCAGGAGAAGGCCCTACTTTGAGTTTTTTCCTAGCATTATACGTGGAATTCGATTATGATAACTATTGACTACATTATCTCCATTATCTTTGCGAGTTTTTAGCTCAGCCTGTACTGACTTATACCTTTCTTTGGAGGTTAGATCAAAATTAACAAAAATCCTGTTTTTCTTGAGTTTGTAGCCATTTTTTATCAGGTTCTCAACTCCAGCTGCGGAATTAAGAGTCACTCTTAAAACTCGATTATTTTTTTTCGGTTTACCCATTCTCAAAACCTCTACGATTTCAGGTAGATTCTCATACAGTATTTTTAAAACATTCCTCATCATCATTGCCCTCTGATACATTAAATAACATTATATTATTGGCTCGTTTTTGACGCTCTTGCAACTCATACAATATATCAGTCTCAGTAAAATTTTGTGCTGGCTTGTTGTTAGCTAACGTTGGATTGTTAGCTGTTGTTGGTGCAGCCAGTGATTT